AGCTATATGTGTGTACCATTCGGTACTCGGCTGATCGATTAATATGTAGATATCTGATATTCAGATTTGACAGTTAGTTGCGCTTAGTACATATGGTTTCTTTCTTGAATAACTGTTCAATCGTTTGATTAGTGTGTGTAGTACAAATGCTAGCTTTATTGAACGAGTATTGGACTGCTTGTTCAGTGTGCGTGGTACGTACGCTGTCCTTCTTGAATAACTGCTGGATCGTTTGTTTAGTGTACACACCGTTTGGCGACCAGGCAGGTGCAGGCAGGACTGGACATTGGTGTTTATGTAGAGAACACTCAGAACAGTGCCGCAGCCAGCGCGACTCCCAACCGCCTTCCTCACGTTCATTCAATGAGAGAGGACGAGCCCGCCTCACGATGTTCCTTATAGCTCCAATTATGGTTAGTACGATAGGCGCTCACGCCTATAACCCGTACTATGTCACAGTCGAAGGAACGCATCCATCGTAAAACCGGACCCATCCTCTCAGGAAGACCAGCTATCTAGAAAGTCCTACTACCCAGGTGGGGAAAACTCCTCACATCGAGCAGAGAAACTGCCCAGTCCGGAAACGCATCACTGAGTGCTCAGAAAAAGCAGATGGCCAGCATCCAAGCCAAATACAGGCCGGGTACTGTATTCTACAAATGCATCTGCCGCCAGAAAAAAAAAAGAAGCAAAATTCTGCAGAAGGGCCTACAGCAACCTAACCATAGAAACAGAAACGGCCTCTGCCACCTAATAGCGAAAAAAAAAACAAATACAAAAAGGAAGATACAATGAACAGGGAGAATCCGACCAACAGAAGAGCCAGCAGCCCAGTCCGCAAAAGGAACCCCCCGCCACAGATCGCAGGCCTATGATCCCATGCAATTCAAACAACCCCCCGACAACACCCAAATGCCGGGGGCATAGCACCAAAGGGAAATAGAGCACAAGACCCGTAGGCCTGTTTGGAGTTGTGATGGGAAGGAAATGCAATCCTTAAGTTTCTTCATCTTTTTTTTTTTTTTTTTTTTTTTTTTTTTTTTTTTTTTTTCGGGGGTGTGAATTTTTTTTTTTTTTTTTTTTTGAAAATTTTTGTGTGCAGAGGCTACTCAGATTAAACTCAGATCTTTCAAATTCCCTGCTCAGATTGGTCTTTTCTTTGTTTGGGGGGGCCGGGGGGATCTAAAGGGCCTCCGTCCAGTGCAGAACATTTGAAGTGCACGGGGAGCTAGGACAGGGCCGGATAGATGTCAAATTTTGGATCAGTCCAAATGCCTCTGGTCCAGCTGTGAGTCCAGGTACATGTAGAAAGTTTAGTAGTGGATCGAGGAGCAAAGTTGTGTTGCTTGGAGAAGCTCTGCTCAGATCGAACTGAGGGGCATCTGTCAAATTCTGCCATGAATGAAACGCGGTGTTGGCAAAATTGTGCGCCTAATTTGAGGTCTGTTAACGGATGATGTTTGGTGTCTGTGTGTCGGTTGGCGGGTACCCTGTGTGTGTTGTTGTGCAGGTTTTCCTCCTCTCCTTTGCGTTTTTACTTAAGCTTCTTCTGGACATGTCAGCTCTTTCGGTAGTCAATATTCCAATGTACGGTGTGTTGAAGAGTTCGACAACGCCGTTTGTGTTGTTTCTCGACTACATAATGCGTGATAAGCGCGCTGCGCCCCGCATTCAGATGGCTGTGTATCTGACGGCGGGGGGGGGATTGATCGCAGGTATTGGCGATCTCACCTTTGATTTTGCGGGTTACATTCTGGCCCTCTCGTCAGCTATGGCCACTGCAGCGTATGTGGTCATTGTAGGSAAGTTAGGAGAAGAACTTCAGCTTGATTCTTTCACACTGCTGCTGTACAACAATTGCTGGTCGCTACCRTTCTCTCTGCTGCTGGTTCTTGTCAACGGGGAAGCGATGGCCCTTGCCCAATTCCCTCATCTCCGAGAGAGGCTCTTCATTTTTTGCTTTTTGCTCTCCTGTGCCTCGGCGTTTGTCTTAAATTTGGCAACATACCTCTGCACGCTTGTCAACGACTCGTTAACCACAAGCATCGTGGGTAAGTTCTCTCTCTCTCTCTCTCTCTCTCTCTCTCTCTCTCTCTCTCTCTCTCTATATATAGATGAGTCGGTGAAACTCCGACGAAACAGTTTGTCACAG